AAATGTTCTAAATAATTATTGATTAGAGAAATGCAAATAAAATAATTCCAAGTTTCTACTTCACACCTATCAGATTGGCTAATAGGATAGAAAAGGAAAAAAAAAAAAATGTTGGAGGGAATGTAGAAAAATTGGGACACTAATGAATTGTTGGTGGAGGTATGAACTGATCCAACCATTCTGGAGAGCAATTTGAGACCAAGACCAAAGGGTTATAAAACTGTTCATATCTTTGATCCAGCAATACAACAAATAGGTCTATATTCCAAAGAGATAACAATTAAAAAAGGAATAGGATATAAATATACACAAATATTTATAGCACCTCTTTTGGTGGTGGCAAAGAATTGGAGATTGAGAGGATGTCCATCAGTTAGAGAATGACTGAACCAGTTGTAATGGCTATAAGAATGATGAAGTGGATGAGTTTAGAAAAACCTGGGAAGAATTATACGAAATTATGCAGAGTGAAGTGCGTAGAACCTGGAGAACATGGTATATAATAACAGCAGTATTGTGCAATGCTCAACTGAAAATAACAACTATTCTCAGCAATGAGATGCTATAAGATAATTCTGAAGGATTTATTTATCCAGAAGGGGGCAAAATGGAGTCTGAACACAGATTGATGCACATTTATTTTTTTTTTAATTTTTCATTTTGTATCTGTTTTTTTGGCTACATTGCTGATATAGAAATATAATTTGCCTGACTATACATGTATAATCTATAGCAAATTGCTTGCTTCTTATTGAAAGAGGAGGTGAGGAAGGGAGGGAAAGATTTTGGAACTCAAAACTTAAAAAAAAATCTATGTTAAAATTGTTACTACATGTAATTAAAAAATAAGCTAGAAAATAAAAATAAAAATAAACAAAAGTGAAGGAAAGCAATATGATGTACATTGTATGTGTGAAATTATAGAACACATATTTACATATTATCCATGTTGTCAAAAAGTCAAGTAAAATAAAGAATTAAAAAATATGCTTCAAACTGTATTCAGAGATCATCAATTCTTTCTGTGTAGGTAAATAGCATTTTTTCATCATGACTCCTTTGAAATTGTCATGGATCACAGTGTTTATCAGAGTAGCTAACATTTTCACAATTGATCATCCTTATAATATTGCTATTACTTTGTATAATGTTCTCCAAATTCTGCTCACTTTACTTTGAATCAGTTCATAGAAGTCTTCTTAGGTTTGTCTCAACCTATGCACCTCATCATTTGTAATGGAACAATAGTATTCCATCACAATAATATTTGGTAGTATGTTCAGCCATTCTCCAACTGATTAGCATCCTTTCAATTTCCAATTCATTACCACCAGAAAAAAAATAAAGCTGATATAAACACTTTACTACATATAGCTGCTATTCCTTTTTTATGTCTTTGGGATACAGACCTGTTAGTAGTACTGCTAGGTCAAAATGTACACACAGTTCATAGTCCTTTGGGCATAGTTTTAAATTGCTTTCCAGAATAGACTAATTCATAACAGCACATTATTGGACTTATTTTTCCATATCCCTGCCAGCATTTGACATTAACCTTTTCTGCCATGTTAATCAATCTAATAAGTGTGAGGTGGCACCTCAGAGGTGTTTTAGTTTTCATTTTTTCTAACCATGAGTGATTTACAGCATTTTTATTTGACTACTAATAGCTTTGATTTCTCCTTTTAAAAACTTCCTGTTCATATCCATTCACAATTTATCAATTGGGAAATGGGTGTTATTTTTATAAATTTGAGTCAGTTCCTTATATATTTAAGAAATGATGCTTTTATCAGAGACACTTCCTGTAACTCTACTCCCCTAATTTCCTGCTTATGTTTTAATTTTGGCTGCATTGGTTTTATTTGTGTAAACCCTTTTAAATTTAATGTTATTTAAAGTATTCCATTTTGTTTCCTACAATCCTCTATCTTTTGTTTGGTTTTAAAAATCTACCCTCATTCATAAATCTGAGAGGTGTTTTTTTTTCCATGTTGTCCTAATTTGCTTATAACATCCATTGCATATAAATCATGTATCCATTTTGACCTTATTGTTGTATCCACTGTGAGATATTGGTCTATACCCAGTTTCTGCCAGATTACTTTAAGTTTTCTCAGAAGCTTTTGTCAAATTGTGAGTTCTTGCCCCAAAATTTGAATATTTGGGTTTATCAACCTCTAGATTACCATGGCCATTTACTACTGTGTATTGAGTACCTTTTTTATTCCATGGATTCACCAATATTTCGCCAAAAAATAGCAGATTATTTTATTAATTACTACTTTGCAATATAGTTTGAAATCTTGTACTTCTGGACTCTCCCTTCACTTTAATTTTTTTTTAATTTTATAAAAATATTTAATGTATGGAATAAAACAAGAATTTCTACAACATAACATAATGAAAAGGAAGGTTGCACATGAAACTGCACATGTGCAATCCACAACTTACTACTGCTTTCAAATATACAACAAAATTATCACATAAATTTATTTTTTTTCTTTTTCTCTCATTTCCTTCTCCACCCCCCAGCATTAGACACAAATAGATACATACATACATGCATACATACATGAATATGCATATATATGTAAAACTGTTCTATACATACTTCTATTTATTAGTTCTTTATCTGGGTATTCTTTCTTCATGTGTCCTTTATAGTTATTTTGGATGTTTGTAATAGTCAAAATAACTTGACTCGCTCAAAGTCATTTTTGAAACAATATTGTTGTTACTGTAGAAAATGTTCTCTTGGTTTTTCTCATTTCACTTTTCATTATTTCATGGAAGTCCATGATTTTTTTCCCCTAAAATCACTGAGATCATCATTTCTCATAGTGCAGTAGTATTTCACCACAAACATAGAACTTGTTCAACTATTCCCCTGCTTCCTTCTCTCTCTGTCTCTCTTTCTGTCTGTCTCTTTCTCTATATGTGTGTATGTATATACATCTATATCTTTACATATAGATGGATATAGATACAGATATAGACAGATACACACACATATTCTTACCTCTTGGAACCAGTTTAGATGGGATTAAAGTTCAAGTGTTGCCCACAACCTTACATTTTCCTCTACATTATAAAGGTTATTTTTTGCATGCCTCTTTTATATGAGATAATTTCTCTCATTGTTCTCCCTTCCTACTTCTCAGTTCATCCCTCTTTCTTACCCTTCAAATTCTTTTTTTTAAATCACCCCAATATAACTAACTCATACCCATGCCCTCTCTCTATTTAGAATCCTTCTAATTGCTCTATTAATGGTAACTTCTTTGGAATTAAATCCATTATCTTCCCACATAGGAATATAAACAGTTTAACCTTATTAAGTTCTTTATGATTTCTCTTTCTCATTTACCTTTTTATTCTTCTCTTGAGTCTTATCTTCGAATATTAAATTGTCTGTTCAGTTCTGCTCTTTTTCATGAATACTTGGAAGTCTTCTATTTGATCAAATATACATTTTTCCTCACTGTAAGATTATACTCAGTTTTTCTTCATCGGGTATTCTTGGTTGTAATCCCAGTTTGTTTACTTCCTAGAATATCGTATTCATTGTGTTGTCCCACAGTATTTATTAGTTTCTTTCTGGCTGCTTGCAATTTTTTTTCCCTTGACCTTGGATGTCTGGAATTCGTTTACAATATTGCTAAGAGTTTTCATTTTGGGATTCCTTTCAGGAGGTGTTTGGAATTCTTTCAATTTCTATTTTACCCTCTGGCTCTAAAATATTATATAATTTCTTAAACTATGATGTTTAGATTTTTTTTTTGACCATGGATTTCAGGTAGTTCCATACTTCTTAAATTATCTTTCCTATAGCTATTTCCAAAGTCAGTTGTCTAATGAGATATTGTACATTTTCTTCTATTTTTCTTCATTCATTTGACTTTATTTTATTATTTCTTAATGTCTCATATAGTGTCTGCTTTCCACTTGCCCAGCTATTATTAAGGAATTATTTTCTTCTCTGAGGTTGTATACTTCCTTTTCAATTCAGCCAATTTTGTTTTAAGGATTTATTTTCTTCAGTATTATTTATGGCTCTTTTAACAATTTCTTTTATTTTTTCAGAATTTTCTTGCATTTTATGATTTGTTTTCTCAGTTGTTCCTCTGCTGTTCTTATTTGATTTTTGAAACAATTTTTTTCTGCTGTTTTTAAATTGCCTTCTTTTGTTCTTCTAGGAATTATTGTTGGGCTTTTATCCAATCTGCACTTTTCACATGAGATTTTGCTATTACATGTTTTCACATCATTTCTTTCTTCTGAGTTTGTGAGTTTGCCACAGGAGCTTTTGATGGTCAGGTTCTTTTTTTGTTGTTTGCTCATTTTCCAACATATTTCTTGATTGTAATTTAAAGTTGGACTCTACTCACCCATGAGGTCACTGTCTAAAACTTCAGCCTTTCTCTTTTTACTATTTTCACAGCTAGTTCTGAGTATATGTAAGTTTTCAGTGTTACCAAGGTGGTGTGATTCAAGGAGAGGTGTGGTCACTGCTTTCCTGGTCTGCACTGCTGTCCTTACTCAGAAAGGGCCCCTACTTTTTTGGGACCCTAAGTGCTAGCATTCCTCCCGCTGCCTGGTAACTGCTACCAGGATCTTAAACCCCTGCTTTCTGCCCTGGAAATGTGACCAGGGCCCCTCCTTTTGTTACTGCAAACTCTTTTCTCTACCCTGCAACTATTTCCTAGAACCGGGGAACGGATAATGGAGTTGCCAAGAGTACAGTACGCAGTTTTACATCAAGTGCCCATGCCATTTCACAATTTCTTTCTGATAAGCTGCTTCTATATTGCCTTTTTGGTTTATTTGCTTGTTTTTTGGTTTTTTGCTAGGCAATGGGGTTATGTGACTTGCCCAGGATCACAGAGCTAGTAAGTGTCGAGTGTCTGAGGTCATATTTGAACTAAAGTCCTCCTGACTCCAAGGCCTGAGCTCTATCCATTGCACCACCTAGCTGCCCCAACAGTCCTTAGCCTGATGGAACTTACTTTTTTTTTTTTGGCAAGGCAATTGAGGTTAAGTGACTTGTCCTATGTTGTCTTGACCTGGAAGAATAATTTTCCCCTGACCTTTTGTTGGATATGCTGCTCCAGAGTTTGATTTGATATATTATTTTACAGTTTATTGGAGGAGAATGTTGAGAGAGTTAAGCTGGAATGCTCCCTCTACTCTGCCATCTTGTCTCTGCCTCCTGTGACCAATCAATTTTAAAAGGCTTCTTGAAAACATGTGGTAAACAAACTGGAATCAGTCATGGAATGTCGATATATGCTGTACATTCTCTCCAAGGTACTTTCATTCCACCTCATCACAACTGCCAAAGGAGGCTCCTCAACCTCTCCAGTGGAAAATGGTGAACTGCCAATAAAAACAAATATAAATATGTATCCAAACAGACTGAGATTATGTTGTCTTAGTCTATATTGAGGGAAATGATGTTAATGGGTAGATCCTAATTTTTGGACATAGTATAACAATATAGCTCATATATTTTCTGAAATGAAAAATTGGAAAAACATCATGTCAATCATCTTAATATCATACACCCCACGCCTAGGAAGTCATTCTATTTACCTGTTAGGTATAGGCTATTCTTTTAGACACAGAGGGAACAAATCATCCCTAAAGTGTTCTTTCAGGAAAAAAAAAAACTATTTTTTTCTGGAGTGTAGATTTTCTGTCTCGTAGGTAATATGAGCTTCTCTATTGTCAGAATTTTATTTGGAATCCTATGTACTCTTCAATGTGATGTAAATATCAGGCATTTTGTATTTTTGGGGATTCAACTCTACCTTAAATCAAAATCTCCTTTTTCAGTCTTACTCTCAGAATTCAATAACATGCAAGCAGCTTGAGTTGTTGATCATCAGGTTTTATAGGAAAATGTTAAATAATGTAGATGCTCAAAGTAAACAGGAAAAAAAAAGAGGCAGCTGCTTCATCAGACTGATAAGGAGAGAAAATGAGAAAACCAGAAATCATCAGGGGCAGGTAAATGAAAGTGATTCTCCATGAGTGGACAAAGAAGAGTTGGTGAAAGGACTTTGAAGGGGATACAGGTAAATGCTAACATCAACTGCTACTTGCAGCCTTGATCTTCTTACCAGTCCTTTGACTTTCCCTTCTCAGGCGTTATAGTTCTTTCTTGATGACATCAGCCTCTCAGACTTCAATCTCCTGTCATTTCAAATTGCTACCACTGCTTAGTGAAAGCACTTCAACAAGCTGGGATCTCCTCCCACCTTCTTCTTCTGCAACCACCTTTATGGCTATCCTTTCAAATCTAAAAGAAAGGGTAAAATGTTTGAGAATCTTGAGAACTCTTGAGTAGTATGACTGCTCAAAGTATTTATTGTCCTTAAGTTTCCAATGTAATATCTAGGAAAAATGTAGCTATAGGGTTATAGGTATAATATTTTCAACAATTGATCATCTAGTCTGTGCTTAAAGATCTTGAGGGAAGAATACATTCTTTTCTAAAGCAAAAACATCTCACTTCAGGACAGACATGATGCTTTTCCTTAAACTGAGCTAAAATGTTCCTTTCTGAAATTTCCATCAGTCAACAAGCATTTTTTTTAAACTATATGCCTGCACTGTGCTAGGCAGTACAGGGGACACAAAGAAAGGTGAAACACACACAAACAAAACCCCCTTGGTATCTCCTTTCATAGAACACATATTTCAATGGGAGAATCAACATATAAATATCTGGGCATGTACAAGAAACATACAAATTATCTGAAGGCATTCTGGAAAGACCACCAGTGGGGCCATGCCCTATGATCTCTATTATCTGGCTGCCCTGAAGACAAAAGTTATTTTATCTCTTGATCCCCAGGGCCTTCTTCAAGGCAAGTTAGGTTTACTGGCCTCTTGATCTGCCTCCCTTACCTCCACCTTTTCTTGCCTACTATAAGATGAGCCTCCATGGACATGACATACTCTCTGCATGAAGGCTGAACCTCAAAGGAAGAATTCAAATTTTAAAATATCAGTTCTCCCACAATGAATTTCTTTCCAACCACTGGTGCTCTGCCTGAATTCACTGTTAAATGACTATCCTATTTCTATTCATTTTTACTCACCACATACCAGTGATTCCAAACATTTGATAGCCTAGGTACAAACCCGTTTCATATGTCCATTTCATATATGTCCACAATTTGTATCTGATGTTTGTCCTTCTTTCATCTATCATGCACTTATCTGCCAGATTGATATTCCATAAGTAGAACCATGTCACTCCCCTGGCCAGAAGTTCTCTATTACCCTTAGGATAAAAGAAAAACTCCTCTTTTTGTTATTGAAAGCCTCTCACAGTCATATGTGCCTCCTGCTTGTCTATACATCTTTCATTTTACTACCCTTCCTGTTTTCCATGTTGCAGACACATTGGTTTACTTGAAATTTCCACATCTAAAATTCTATCTCCTTTCTTTGTACCTTTCCTTAGGCTAGCTTCTATTTCTGGAAGGTTCTCCATCTTCACCTTTGCCTCTAAGTATCCTTGGAAGTCTTCAAGTTTCACTACAAGTGCTCTATCCTGTAGGAGATCTATTCTGAACCTTTAGTTGTTAGTGCCATTTTTTAGGAAATTAGTTTGCATATATTTTGTACTGACTTTTCTATGTATACATCTACACGTTTGTCAGCATAGTGATGGCCATCATCTGAATCGTCTCCAACTTGTCCTTCTTAACGTGTGGTGACCAGAACTGGAAACCACACTCCAGGTGTTATCTGACCATGACAAAGTACAACAAGACTGTCAACCCCTCCCCCTACCAAAATTCTAACACTAGGTTTTGGTTAATGTAGTCTAAGATCACATTACAATCTGTGGCTCTCATGTTGTACTGTTAAGTCATGTTGAACTTGCAATCCACTGAAGTCTTTATTCCCACTACTGTGAAGCTACAGTGTGGTTAATATATGTGGTTATTATATTAGCCACACACAATATGCAACGTAGTTTGCTTATATAAATTAAATTATCATTGGATAAATAGAAAATATGATTTTTTTCCAGAAACAGCAATAGCTTCTTGTATTTAGTATCCTAATATATCACAACATCACTGTGAAGAATTCAGCATTTTATATCCTAATATAGGAATATGAGAAAACATTAGATGCCACTTACTAGAAGTCTTATCTCTGACTTCCAAAGTAAAGAGGTTTCATGTTTAAATAAATATAAACTCCATCCTCGCAAGCCACTAAATTCTAGTTGTCATATATGAAGTGTTAGATTGTTAGGGAAATAACTAAAACCAGAATAAAACAATATTATCCTAAAACTATCTCTTCTTTAGTACCTCTCTTTCATTTGTGCCTTTTCATTGCATCAGAAGACTTTTGTTTGGAAACTTCAGCTGAGTAATAATCTAAGCCTAGGTGAAGCATACAAAGTAACCAACATTTCCAACAGTTCGAGAATTGCAAGCAGGATCTCTGGGACCTTCATTACAAGCAATGAAAAGAAAAACTCAAACAAATGATTGCAGCCTGTTATAGTAGTTTAATTTAATTTTCTGATGTCTCTTTCTCTCCTGATATTTCTGTTGTTCTTTGGGTGCTGTATGTATGAGACAGCACTAGCAAGCCTGAGGTTTAACAATAGATTTGGATTCTGACTGGAAAAAGCATTTTTTTTATAATGAGTAACCTAGTCTAAGGAATAGGTTTATGGAATGATAGCCTTAAATATAGCAATTCGATGTGGAGCTCAATTTGTAGCAAACCATAAGACAATCACATAGCTGTGCTTAGAGTTTATTGCTCATGTTTACTACTGAGGCTTATTGAGTAGAATGTATGATTAGTGAACTGACTTACAATGTTTCTATTCTTCCAATTAAACCGGAAAATACAAAATTGGAACACTGTGATCTGGGCTTGGCAACATGGAAAAATTGTGACTCAGAATTGCGATGCTTAGGTTCAGGTCCTCTATCTCCTGCTTATTGGCTAGTGAACTGAACCAAGTCAGATTCTGCCATTGTGAAAGAGAAATAATAGTTTGCTGAACAAGCTATTATCCCACAGGCTTTTTGAAGGGAGCCAAAGTGGATAAATTACTTTGGAGCCCTGAAATTACTACATATGATCTTTTTCCTTGAATCTCATGTAGCACTCTGCTTTGAAATTCCTTAGCCACAGGTAATATTTATAAATGCTTTAAAGTTTGAAAAATACCAAGTATCTTAATGATTTTGAATGACTTTAGTCTGACTTGCGATCCTAAATTTATCATAAAATTGTTTAGAAGTTCATTTTATTTTGGTTGAATCAACATGACTTAATAGTATCAAAGCACTAATGTTAATTTGCCTATTGCTTAACAGGTTAATAGATTCACAGTGAGAGAATATTTATGTTTAAATTAGAAAATCAGAAACAAGATACTTTTTTTTTTCATTTTTGCGTGTCTGAACCATTTCTTTTCCCCACTACAATACAATAAAATACAATATATATTTAGTAACTACTTACTGTGTGTCAGGAACTCTGCTGAGTTCTGGGCATGCATATTGAAAAAGAAAAGGTAATCCCTTGCCTTGGAGGAATCTATAATTCAATGGGAAAAGAAAACACACAAAAGGAAGCTGAAAAGTAGGGGGCTCAAGGAGAAGAGGGAAGATGTCCCATTGCTGAGGGAATGATGATAGTGAAATGGAATCCAAAGAACTCAGCTAATGGGAAATGAAGAGTTTGTGTGTTTTCTTTATAGGAAGGCTGGGTTCCTATCTGTGACTCCTATGTTATTGCTATTCTAAGCAGTCTCAAAACAATAAATAAGTCTTAAAAATTCCCTGACTAGATAATTGTGAAGAAACAACTGTGTTTCCTCACTCGTCTTTCCAGCTGTGTCCCAGAGGCCCTGGCTTTCACCTTTGGGAAGATGACTACCCAAGGCCATAGAGTCATACCTGTCAGTCATTACCCTTAGACATCAAATCTTGTTACAAGGAGACAAATCATCACAAATTAATGTTAACTGCCTGCCTGAGAGTTCACCTGGAGTTAGAAATTTACACTTGCATCATAAAATGCCAGGAGGAAAACTTGATAACATGTTCACCTAGAGGCACTTATGCCCTTATGCCTTTGACCATAAATTATGTATTCACAGGGAGCATCATCAGTTTGTTACATATCTGTATCTCATGTACTATGTGAAGTGAGCAACAAATTATTTTAGCCAACCCTGTCATAAACCATAGAATCAGAGAACAGAGTAAGCAGGTTTTTGAACTAAAGGGGGGGGGAGGGTCATTCCATGGGGCATGCAATGGAGTCTAACTGAACTGACCTGGGCTATTTCCAGAAAGCCATTTGATGATTTGGCCTTTAGGAAATGCGATTACAGTCTTCTTATTGGTCTCTTAGTCCATGTAACAATGGCAAAAGAGTGCCTTACTTTAAAAGGAGATAGCACTTCTGTTCTCTATCTTTTTCCTCCTTCTCTCTGAAAGTGTCTCCAAGACCCCACAAAGCAGGTAGAGAGACTGTAGCTGGCATGAGTCAGCTCCAACTCAGGTATCCACTTTATTTGTTCAAAATGAAATTGACATTTCAACAACCTATTTATTTATGATCAATGTATCTTTTGGACTGTACTTGCATATAAATATTTCTTCACGGCTGTTATTCCTCAGTTTCTATGTTTTTTTTTTTTTATCATAGTGGCTCTGAATTATAGGTGCTCCAACAGCATTCGATGATTGATTTGAAGAAGCAACTAAATAGTCAATTAGTATTTCCTGAGCATCTACAATAGGACTGACATAATTCCAGGAAATACGAAAGATAGATGACACAGCCTTGAGCATCAAGGAATTTATTGTAATGCTGAGAAAAGATTAATTTCCATGAAATATAAATTTCAAAAGGAAACTTTACTAATCAAATATTAAATTATGGCCCAAATAAAATTCTCAGTAGTAGAAATGTCAAAGAACAGTTCTGATTTTGGTTGATTACTTCTTGTGCGGCTTTTCCACTCAAACATTTGTGACTGATATTTCAGGGACTCTCCTCAGCTAGCTATTCCATGGGTGAATGGTGGCTGACTGATTTGATGAAAGTTATTAGGGATCTGTAGGACGTTGAGGGCCACAGGCTGCTCATGAGACTTCACTTACCGGCGGAGGCTCCTCTCGGGTGTAAGTACATAAGCAGAACTTCCGGTTCAGTGCTCTGTCCAAGGACTCTGCACCCTCTGATCAGCAGTTTTAGAGTGGAGAAAAGTCAGCAGATGTAGAGGACCACAGGTGAGTAGGACTCTGACCCTGATGGCTGTACAAGCCCTCTCAGGTGAGGAGCTTGCTCCTTGGGCTGGATCGGATCTCCACCCCCCAGAAAGAAGGGCGGCTAGGCAAGCTCAACCATAAACAATGTGGCTAGCTCAAACACAGCTAGCTCTAGCACGAACATGTATCAAGTATTGCAGTTCACGTATCAAGTATTGGGACATTCCGGGAACAAGAAGTGCATGGTGTTTTCACGGGAACAGCCTGGGAGAAGGACACAGCCAGGACAATGTTGCAAAGAGATATGCTTCTTGATACTTTGATTGGTATTCGCATGAGAAAAATCCTTGGTGTTGCCTATTGGTAAAGATATGTAAACTTTGTTGCTTTGTCCGCTGTTACATTGGGGTATGTTCCCATGAGTCAAAGATATAAAAACTCTGTGCTGTGCCTTGAATAAACGGAGTTGCTTCCATCTTGGCTCCCGCCTCTTCAGTGCATTCCGAGATAGAAGATTAAAGCTGGACTTTATTCTTCAAGGTAGTCCATGAATCCTAGGTACTGAGCTAGTCGCAACAACTGGCGCCCAAAGTGGGGCATCCTGAAGAAGAAGCAGGGACGAGCCTTGTAAAGGAACACATCACCCCACGAGTGAGACACGAGGTCTTTTGGGAGCCTCCACCCATCAGTGAAGTCTCATGAATAGCCTGTGGCCCTCAACGTCCTACAGATCCCTAACAGAAAGTGATAGCAGATATTTTTTCTCATAACTTTTCGGCTATGTAAGCAAAGCTGTAGACGCAATTTAATTCATGCAAATATTATGTGCTCAACTCACTTTTTCTCCCTTTAATTTGTATCCACATATATATTGAATCTGTATTTCCAGGGGTTTTTGGTTTGTTTCAATTTAAATAAACTTTTATTGAATGTCTAATAGATTCTAGTTGAGTGGATAGAGCACTGCGCTTGGAACCAGAAAGACTCATCTTCCTGAGTTCAAATCTGGCCTCAGATACTAACTAGCTATTAACCTGGTCAAATCACTTAACCCTGTTTGTCTCAGCTCCTCATCTATAAAATTCACTGGAGAAGGAAATGGCAAACCGTTCTAATATCTCTGCCAAGAAAACCCAAATGAGGTCATGGAGAGTCAGACGTATTGGGAAAAAAAACCAAATCTCCTTTTCTTTACTTAATAAATTCTAAGGATTCAAAGATAGAAAATTTTAAAAAAACCAGTCTTTGTAGGATTTCATATTCTACTGGGGAAATATCATATAAAAAGCTAAGTAAATACAAGGTAATTTGAAGAAAAGAGAGCATGAACAACTTACAGGGATTGGAGAAAGCTTAAGGCAGAGTTAGAAACTAAGCTGAATATTATTTTAAGAATTAGAAGGAGGAATTACATTTTGAGAATGGAAGATAACCTGTTCCAAGGCACAGAACTGGATTATGGAAATCAGAAGTTCAGGTAGAAGCAAGGAGGACAATTTGGCTATAACACAGATTCTGTGACAGAGAGTAAAGTGAATTGCACCTAGAGAGGATTGTGCTGGTTGGTCTCCCTGCCTCAAGGCTCTCCTCACTCCAATCTGTTTTCTACTCAGCTGTCAAATTGATCTTCCCAAAACGCTGGTGTGACCAGATCAATCCCCCTCTTTGCTCCCCGACGCATATGTTCAATAAAATAGACTTGCACACTGTTACTTCCAGAATCAAATATAAAATCATCTGTTTGAGTTTTAAAATCTCTTGTGACATGGCCTCTTTCTATCTCCCTACTTCTTCTTTCACCCTTTTCCCTTCCATTGACTTTGCAATCTAGTGACACTGCTTTCTTGATCTTTTTTAAATTCATTTAAGGTGATGCTGAGGAATTCATATTTTATCTTATAGGGAGTCTTTGAAGACTTTTGAGTAGGGGAGTGATGTGGTCAGACTAGGCTTAAGAAAGATTATTTGGGTATCTGTGTAAAGATTGGATCAAAGAGGGGACAAACTGTATGTAGGGAGATTGGTTAGAATCCTATCACAAGTGAAGGTAAGATTTGTTTATAAAGTGTCTGACTAAGTGTGATGTCTGTGAAAGTGGCAAAAAGGTAATGCTTATAAGAAATGTCATGGATGCAGATTTTGTAAGAGTCAGAAACTGGGTAAAAATGGGGGATGTGGAAAAGGAAAATGTCATAGATAAATTGTTGGTTAGTTTTTAGTAAACTGGTTAATTTATTTAAAAAAAAGTTGTTCCTATTAGTTTTACCATTTTACCCACTTCTTGAACAAAGAATATTTTTTCTAGTTGTTTTAAAGTTATGTACACATGACTACATTATTAATAATATAATGCTAGTTTGCCAAGTATTTTTACAAATATTCCATTTGATTCTAACTCTGTGAGATAGGTGTGATTATTATCCTCATTTTACACATGGCAAAACTTAGGCAGACAGATATTTAGTGACTTTCCTCACTAGTAATTATTTGAGGATGGATTTAAGCTCAGGTCTTCTTGACTCCAGATCTAGTGCTCTACCCACTATACCACCTAGCTGCCATAAAAAAATATATATGACAGAGGAAGGTAATAATATCACAGTTAGAATTGGAAAGGAAATAATCTAAGCTCTTCATTTTACAGATGTCTGAGATTCTGAAACCCTAAAGAAACTTACCTAAGGACACACTGTAGAAATTCAGGCTCATGTCTTCTGACTCTTAAGTCCAGTGATCTTTCCATTACACCACACAGCCTTCTCATTAACTTTGTATTTTTATCACCTAAGTACGTACAGTGAAGCAGCTGAAAAGAAGGTGTACTGATAAAGACATTATTCATTGACTTCTAGTATTGTAGAACCACCATAAGTTTAGCTGACCTAATTCCTGTTATTGTTTTAAAGAAAGAAAATGGGAATGTGAATCTTCAACCAAAATTGTTGTAAACACTTCCATCAATAATGTATCTCATCAACTGAAATGCTTGAGTTTTGGTCTGTCTTCAAAGTCACAAGAGGTTTGATTGAAACCACAAAAGATATAAACAGATCAATACTATAGTACCAAGAAATGAGCATTACCACTGTGAGGTTTTGAACATGAAGACATAATTATCCTCACCCACGTAAATTATTAATAATATACCCTTGGACCCTGGAGCACTCCTACCTAGTAATTCTGCTCTAGATCTCACCTTAATAATAGTGCTAAAGAACATGCAACTAGAAGGCACAGGGGAAAAAAAGATCAGTATTGTAAAGCAATCAAAAGTGAAAGTCTTTTTTTCCTCAATATTGAGACTGGGAAAAATAAAAATGATATTCAGTACAACCCTATCATAACATAAGTCATCACACAAATTTGTATATGCTTCATCTTAAATCACATCAGTCAAACACATAACTATAGAATAAGCTGAAACTTGAAAAGGACACAAGGAATGTATAGAGCAAGTGTTAATGCTGCCTTCCCATATCAGTATCTTCTCTATATATCTTGCTTTAAGATAATTTTTCTTGATTATATGGATATCTATATCTAGATCTAGACACATATTTACTGACAAAATGATTTTGCACCTAGAAAAAGGAAAGGTAGTTACATCCAGGAAAAAGAAAAGGGGAATTACAGAAGTGTGATGGACCTAAGGAATATCTTTGAATCATATGCAGACCATATCACTGGCCATAAATGTTTTAGTCCATCATATAAAGTTAAGGTGTTAAGGTGGAGAGGGATCATACTTGGTCAATAGAGGTAATAATCACATTGAGACCTTGGACCCTTACATTACTGAAACATTAGACTATCTGTATACAGAGATACTCACCCTCCCTTTTTACCACTCAGAAAAGATATTCCAATGGTAAAATAATTGGGTATTTATTGACAAAAAGACAGCTTGTTTCTAAAAGTTTTACTTCTTTCTCCGAAGTTTACATAGGGGAAAGAGGAAACTCCTCAGTCCTCTGATTCTTATCTAGGTCTTCAAGGAAGATGAAATTTAACTTGAAAAGATTCAAGACAAGACTACAGCCAGACCCTTGTCACTGCCGAATAAATAGATTGCTCTTTCCCAGAAAAAGCCATCTTGGCCAATTAGTCCAGACATCTTTGTTTTCTCTATAATTTTCCCATCAAAGTTCCATTTTTCTTTCTTTTATGACACCAATTTTAATGCTTTTCAAGGAATTCTCAGTAATTTCCAGTTTAGCTATTTCTACACTAATTTTAAGTCATTGCAGACCCAAACCAAATGATTTCTAGGAGGAGAGATGGCACCTGCGTTATTAAAAAGAAATTCTGACACTAGCCAAAGAGAAATGTTCTAGATTTTATTTTCTGTTAGCCTAAATACAGTAGTCACTTCGTTAGAAGCAGAAAATATATAAAAGCAAAATAGTTAAAAGTACTCAAAAGAGGCCACACTAATAGTTTTACTTCTGGTAAATAATATTTCTTAATAAATATGCTCCCACATTTTTATGGGGACTCCTGGATTTATTTAGCTTTTCAATTATTCATGGAGATAGTTACTATTAACTTTAATAATACTTTCAGGGAGATAATCTTATCAACATCAGTAAAAACAACAACAACAGCACTTTTTTTCCATTTAGCATCCTATGGCAGAGTATAAAATGTGAGGAAATAATTTGGAGATAAAGGAAAGGAACATTTATTAAGCACCTTTTTTGTGCTAGCATTGTGTTAAGAACTTTACAAATATTATTTCATTTGATCTTCACAACAACTTTGGGAAGTAGACAATATTACTGTCTATATTTCTACAGAAGAGGACACTGAGGCAGACAAAATTTGTGACTTGATCAGAGTCACGCATCTAGCAAGTGTTTGAGTCCAGAGTTGAACTTAGAACTTCTTGAATCCATGTTCAGCACTCTATTCGCTATGCCACCTAGATGTTTATGAATAAAATATAATATTGCAAACTAGTCCACATCATTGTTCACCTTTAGTTATTGTCTAAGATCTATTATGTACTAATTGACTAGCTCTATGGGCTAATCAACAAACTGTATATCATAGTCTGATTATTCCTTATTTGCCATGCAGTCCCCAATGGAAAATCAGGGAGAAAAATTTACACGATGTATGTATCTCATTTATGAGG